TAGTGACCAGTTTGGCAGTATAGTGCATATGGCTGCCTATCAGTCCATATATAAGGATTATGTGTTTTTGTTTGCCAAGAGCATCTCCTCCTGATGAAAAAGGCTTCCCCACCCATTTAAGCAATCCTATCCTATATAATCTATACTAATAAAAGGGTAACATGCTAATTAGACCAGGTTGACCAGTCATCTACTGCATGTCCGATTTCTTCCAGACAAAGTCATGGTGGAGGGGCAGAGGCAGTTAGGGGTAGTTAGGCTAGCAGGGCAGGGCAGTTGGGGGTGAGATCAGGCTGGCAAGAGGGGGCAATTGGGGTGATCAGGCAGGCAAAGGCAGTTAGGGTGATCAGGCCAGCAGGGCAGAGCAGTGAGGGGCAAGATCAGGCCGTCAGGGACGGGCAGTGAGGGGAAATTAGGCAGGCAGGCAAGTCAGCAATTAGGAGCCAGGGGTCCTAAATTGTGAGAGGGATGTCCCCCAAGACATCTCCAATTGGAGAGAGTACATGCTGGGCTGAGGGACCTCTTCCCCCTCCCCCTGTGTATGAACTGGGACACTAGTTTATAATAAAGCTAAAGGTCAAATTTGTCTCAAGATATAAAAACATTATGCCAGGGAATGAAAAGGAATTTAAAACTTAATGATAGATTTGTCATTGTCCCCTTCTTGAGGGTACTTTCTGCATAAAAGTTTTGGTGATTTTAGTATTATATATGACTTATTGTATAAAGATAGCTTTGTATCTAGTAGATTAAGAAATTTTTTTCTGTTGCATAGAAAGTCATGGTCATTTGTATGATGATTGTGACCTGTTTGAGATGGGAGAAGAATGGTTTGGGAGTATTTGTTCCTTAAGAATATGATGTAGAACCTTGTGACTTGGGTAGCTTCAATAACTGATAATAGGAATGGAGGAAAAGCTTAGAATTTTAACATCAGATGTAACATGGTGGCTATGTTACACTATGGTGGCAATAAAAAGTGGCTTGGGGTCTGAGGAATTGAATGTTTCATTTTGATTTAATTAATATAAGTTAAATTGCCATATGTGGCTGGTAGTTAATATATTGCATAATACAATCTCAAACTTAAAATTTAACATTGAGTACATTGTTAGGAAATGTTCAAAACCTAAGACAAAACTTTGATAGAGCCAAAACTGGTTTGGCTTAGTGGATAGAGCATCGGCCTGGGCATGTACCTTGGTTGCGGGCACATCCCTAGTAGGGGGTGTGCAAGAGGCAGCTGATCGATGATTCTCTCTCATCGATGTTTCTAATTCTCTATCCCTCTTTCTTCCTCTCTGTAAAAAAATCAATAAAATATATATTTTTTAAATTTGATAGAAACTCCCAAAAGAAAACAAGTCAATTTCACTAATTAAAATAGTTACAAATAATTATAACTTTAAGAAAATCTAGCCTAGTAAGAAGTATCAAAAAAATTATATAACTACTGAGTAAATTATACCTGCAGTCTGCCAACATATTCATTATTAAGGAAACCTCAGATTATTGTACCATTAGAAGCAAAAATGCATTTATAAAGAAACCAATTCTGACTTTATAAAACTAACATCAAAATAAAAGGAAACTATTAAAATATGACAGTTTTCCTCCATAAAAGTCAAATGTTCTATACTAATTGATGAAATAGGAAAGCTATTTTTGTTCGTCAGAAACAAGACAAATACTTCCTATCATCAATTACATGATTGTCACTGTAATTAAATTTCATTTTGGTAATTCCAGCCATTAAAGTAAGTAATAAGTAAATGAAATAATTACTATAAACGGAAAAGAAGAAAATAATTATTTCTGTTTTCAAATTATAGGATGCTCAGAAAACTCGGGGTAGTAGAAAACAACTAGAATTAATAAATTTTGAAATAGTCACACACACACACACACACACACTGAGTGGCCAGCTTATTAGGAGGAAGATGGGGGGGGGGGTAGAGGGGAGAGAGATGACAGCAACCAGTACCCCACGTTGGTCTGGTGCCCCCACTCACCTGCTCCACCATCCTGCCATAGCCGACACTGCCATGTTCTGCATGCCCCTTCTGGTGGTCAGTGCATGTCACAGTGACCAGTTTGTTTGTACTGCTGTTCGACCTATTTGCATATTAGGGTTTTATATATATAGATTAGTTTTACACAACTGATTTATTTTACTCTGCTGTAGCAAATCATAATTGCCATTCTTTGTAAAATTTGTGACATACCATACCTTTTAATTCTGTCTCATTAGTGTGTTTTCATTTGAAAGTTAAAAAAAGTTAAAATTTTTATTCTTACTAGTAAGCTAGAAAAATAATTTGTTATAGTTAAAAATATATTTCAATTTTACTACCAATTGTGATTTACATAAATATCACTGTAACTCATGCTGTCTTCATAAACTAGTCAAGTAAACACATTACAATGCTGCATTGTTGTAAGGGAAAATAACTTCAACTGAATCATTCTGTTGATACAAACTAGATTGGTGCTCTGTTTATGTATAATATACTAGAAATGACATGCCCCCATCAAGACAATATGATATCTTGATACATTTACCTTTGATATTAGAAAATCCTTATCAAATATATTATGAGGTCTTAGGAGCACTAGTTTTTGTGTTCTTTTTAAGGGAAATTAGGTTTAATTATATTGTCCACTTTGCATCTTTATGATAGCACAAGATCCTAGTTTCTTCTTTTCCTTTTTGTTTTTTCTTTTTGTTTCCACTAGAAAGTACAATAAGCTGCAACACATCTATGTGATATAATAAAAATGAAATATAGTTTCACCTAGACCATAAAATTGTCATTAATTAAAAAATATTTTGTACTGCTTCAGTTGTTAAGTAAAATTTTATATTAATTACAACTTTAAAAAATTAAAAGTCAGCGCTGGCCAATTTGGCTCACTTGGTTGGCCATAGATAGTCCTGTGCACCGAAAGGTTGGTTCCATCCGCAGTAGGGGGTGTACAGGAGGCAGCCATTTGATGTTTCACTATCACATCAATGTTTTTTTTCTCTCTCTCTCCCTTCCTTTCTCTCTAAAAAGTCAACTTAAAAATCCTTAAAAAAATAAAATTGCATGAGACATATTAGCACAGCTCTAGAATCTATAGCAACTTATTCACTTTAATGATAAAAATTCACTTAGATGAAACAACTAGACCCAATAAAACAAGATTAGTTGAAAGAGACAAGGCCCAAAATAAGTCTATTTTAATATATGAAAACATTTTAACAGATGTTAAGTAATTTTATATCCTGGCTGAATGCATGAATTAAAGAATTGCTTTAATAAGAAAAAAAAAATCAGTTACTTCATTTAATTTGAAACAGTTTGTTTCTTTATACAAAGCAAACAATTTTTATGGAAGTTAAGGGGTTCACTTTTCAATCAGATAGTAGAATATCCTGTCAGTACATGAAAGGTGATGTAAATTTCCCTTTATACTTCATTTCCCAGATGAACACTAGCATTTGGAGTATTTTTATTTTGAATAGAGTACTGTTTTATTTGAAATACTTGCATAAATATATGCAAAAATAAAATTAAAATATAAAGAGGAACTAGAGTAACAGTGCAATTTCCTTCTTCAGTGAATGCTGAATGTTCATGGAATAACCAAGTGCCTTAAGCCCAAATTTAGACAGAGTAGATTTGACCCTCTAACATCTTTGCTGAGAAGAACAAAGAATTAAAACTTTTCTCTTACATAATTTTTTACATATTTATCATAAAGTGATCATTACTCTCCTGCCATTACTGCTATTTAACCAAAGAGAAACACACTAGGATGTAAAAGGTGGCTTTTGTTATTGATAGAAATGTTCTTATTTGACTCTGGGAACTTGGACAATAGAAGAGAGATATTTGGTTGACAGCATAGTAATGTTAATGGGAGGATGGGATGTAAATTATTACATATATAATTTAAAGTTTTCAAAAGCATTCATTTAAAATTTTATTCACGAGAATAAAAGACACAAACCATGCTTTTGTATAAAAAAAATTTTTTAGTTACTTTGCCTCATTTTCTCATCAAATCTTTAAAATAGATTTGCTGTTTCAGATATGCAAGAAATGGTTTTTGGATTCTGCTAGAGATGACCTAATTTTTGCTAATTGCTATGCATTCAAAATTTTGTTTGCTCAGAATGGCAGCATTACTGTCATTATTCCTGGGTAGTTAGAATAAGTGCTTTTATACAAAGCTGGTATTCAAAAGAATATATTGGTACTAACTCATAAGTTGTTTTTGTTAAAATTGGTCTTATCCCAGGGGAAAAAATTGAATGCTAATGTACAAGTTAAAATTTATTTATGTGTGATTCCTTATGTTATTTGGTTATTGATGTTATGAAGCATGTAAACATACCCCCCCCACACACACAATCATTTTAAATATCAGTTTTCCAAAAGAGGTAGCCACTATTTTATACTTTTGTTTTCTAGCACCTCAAAATGAAAAGATTCATTCTTCTCAACCATCTGAATACAATTTATTTTAGTTAAATTATGTTTAAAACACATAGCTTTAATTTTAGTGTTATTCAACTATCCCTATAGGTTAGTTACCTTCCCCCTATTTTTCATTTAAATCTCCCCCTGCCCCCAATTTCTCCATTAATTTGAGTTGGGAAGTATCACTTTAAAGCTTTATGAATAGAGTTAGTTGCTTTTTATTTCATTTTTCACATATTATGCATCTCTAAAAAGAATATAATAGAAGTAGCAGTTTATTTCATTTTTGAAGGAGGAATCGAGCTTTTGAATAAAAATGTGAAAGAAACTAGTGTTCATTGCCTACGTGGCTTTTTTAAAAGGCTCATAAAAACATTCCGCTGTGGATTCCAACTCCTCTTTAAACTTGCCACCAACAGAACTGCCTGCAGAGCCATGTGATCATCTTGGTAACAGCCAGACCTTTTAGTGATTTCATTACTGTGGTTTCCTCAAGCTCTTTACACACATTGATGAATATTTTTCTTGCAGTTATCGCTGTGATGATTTTGTGGTTAATGACACCAAGCTGGGACTGGTACAGAAAGTCAGAGAACACTTGCAGAACTTGGAAAAGTAAGTAATAAGCCTTGGGGGGGGGTGGGGGGTTGGATTGATTGGGGTTGAGGGATCTTTCTGAATTTTTGAGTGGGGATTTTGTTTATGAGTTCTATAACTTCATGTTTTTAGTGTGATTGAAATGTTAATAAAATAAGATTTGAGTTTGGCTATCTTAAACTGTGAAACTGTGCCCATAGTTAGTGGTTACATCTCAACATTTATTTCATTTAATATTTGTCATAAATAGATCTAAGGGTCCCAGGGCCTGTTTTTCAGTTATAGCCCACCGACTTGTAAGCCGCCTGGTTTATTTGCTAGGAGAATTTGGGGGGTACAAGGAAAAGTCAGAAGACAATATGAAATCTTTATACAGTTATCTTTGATAATAGAAAATCCTTATCAAATGTATTATAATGTCTTCTTAGAAGCACTGAAATTTATATGTTCTTTTTAAGGGAAATTAGGTTTAATTATATTGTCCACTTTGCATCTTTATGATAGCACAAAATCCTAGTTTCTTCTTTTTCCTTTTGTTTTTCCTTTTTGTTTTCACTGGAAATATAAAAGTATTTTGTTATGTCATTATAAAGAAATTAAAGAATTTATATGAATAGAATTTTCTTGCTGTAGCCAAATAGGCCATTCAGATAAAACTCACTGGACCCAAAATTCAAGCAGCTGAATAAAAATCCAAATAGCAGTGCCTTGGAAGCTGCAGTGGATAGAAGCATAGTCCTGGAATGACTGCCGACTCAAGTGAAATCTATGTAAATCATCCTGAGTCATTGGGTGCCATCAAATTAATTGTCACAGTTGATATATAAAAGGTATTACGAGAATACCAGAGGCCCGGTGCACGAAATTTGTGTACTCTGGAGGTGGAGGGTGGGGGATGGGGAGGTTCCTCTGTCCTTCCAGTCCAGGAGCCCTTGAGGAATGACTGACTGCTGGCTTAGGCCTGCTCTCCATGGCAGTCGGACATCCTTAGCACTGCCGCAGAAGTGAGAGAGGCTCCCGCCACCACCACTGCACTTGCCAGCCATGACCTGGCTTGTGGCTGAGAAGAGCGCCCCCTGTGGGAGTGCACTGACCACCAGGGGGCAGTTCCTGTGTCCGGCGTCTGCCCCCCTGGTTGTCAGTGCACATCATGGTGAGTGGTTGAGCAGCCTTAGCATATCATTAGGATATTATGCTTTGATTGGTTGAACGGTCGACCAGACACTTAGCATATTAGGTTTTTATCATGTAGTATGTCAAAAGCAAGCTTAAATGTAAAGCCAATAGAATATTTTAAAATTGTATATTGAGAGGAAATAACTAAGTTCTTCAAGTGAAACACTGCATAGCTTTGGTTAACTAAGTCTATATGCATGTCTCTTTGACTAACTAGATTATAAAGCTGATAAGGGAAGAATTTATTTTTTTAAATCTAAAGCACTTTGGGTTTAAGAACTTTTTGGCTTGTCATCTTTTTTTTGGCTTTTTTCTTTTTCAAAGCACTTCTTCCCTTAATTGAAACAAAGCAGTCAGAGCCCTATCTAGGATTAGGCAAACAGATCCAAAATATTTAATTTTGTCTGAAACAGTCACAATTAACTGTGAAATAGGAGATTCCTGCAGTAATTGATGAAATATCACTCTTTGTGTGAAGTCATTGTAAAGATCTTACTACGATGGTGCTTTGTTATAGAAGTGGGTAGCTAGCAGAATAGTTTTTCTCTTAAGTCTATCTAATCCCTAATAAATTAATCAGGAATAAGTCAAAGGGAAAAGAGAACGTTCAGGAACCTGCATGCATTTATGCAGTTATCAATCTTTTATTTCCATTGACCATTTCATCATGTAAAAGATGTTACAGATCACCTTGTCTACACTTCTACTTGGCCCACGAAAACATCTACCTTGTAATCAATCCTTTTTCTGTGTTGAAAAACATTACCTACATTCATTTTTATGTTTTCATACATAGGCTTTAGTTTATAATGGGAGCTACATTTTAAAAACTGTGATTACATTTATGTTTTACTTACCTTGAGACTTTTCTGTATATTCTCTAGAGCAGCACTGTGCCCTAGAACTTTTTGTAATCAGTAGTATCCAGTATGATAGCCACTGGTCACATGTGGCTATTGAGCATCAGAAAAGTGGCTAATGTGACTAAAGAACAGAATTTTAAATATTTAATTTTAATTTATTTAGATATATGTAGCCACATGCTGCAAGTGGCTACCATAGTGTGTGGATCTAGAGGATTTTGCTATTTTGAGACTTTCTGATGATAAATTTTAATAACTTTTGTTTTTAAAAACTAAATGTTTTATGTAGATTAAAAATAAACTATTAGCCATTGTCACTAAGTAGCATATGTCCTATGCTTGTGATTCAACTTCTTTACTTACAGAATTAAAAAAAAAAATGTTTTATTGATTTTTTTACAGAGAGGAAAGGAGAGAGATAGAGAGCTAGAAACGTCGATGAGAGAGAAACATCAACCAGCTGCCTCTTGCACACCCCCTACCGGGGATGTGCCCGCAACCATGTTCATGCCCTTGACCGGAATTGAACCTGGGACCTTTCAGTCCGCTGACTGACGCTCTACCGCTGAGCCAAACCGGCCTCAGAATTTTTGAGGAATAACTTAACATAGTAGTCTATGGAACTATGGAACTGGTCTGTTCTTATAGCCACCAATACTCTGAGAGGGACATGCAGTTCTGAAGATATGTTTCCTATGAGTGTGTTTAGATTTGAAGCAACTGACTGTTATTAGATCTGATGCTCCAAAGACATAGTTCATCTGGAAATTCTGGAAAGAAATCATTTTGTATTTGCTATGGATAAGCTTAGTATTTTTAGGAGATGGGAAAGAATTGGCAGACTTAAAAGTCTGTGTTGTTTAATGATAATTTTATCTCCCGATACATAATTTTAAAGTGACCCTTTGAAGATAGGACTTACTCTCTGATAAATTTAAGCAAAATATATCTTTCTTTTTAAAAATACGTTTTTATTGATTTTTAGAGAGAGGGGAAGGAAAAGGAATACAGAGATAAAAACATGGATGCGACATCAATCAGCTTTTTCCTGCACATCCTCCTAATGGGGATTGAGCCTGCAACCCGGGCAAGTGCCCTGACTGGGAATCAAACTAGCGACCTCTTGGTTCATGTGTCAGTGCTTAACCACTGAGCCACATGGGCTTGGTATAAAATATTTCTTTCATCAAGAGAAATTTAAACAGTTTTAATTCAGAATTTCTGTGCTAATTATTTATTTTAGGATATCCTTTGTAGCATAGCTGGATCAAATGAATTTGTATATACCTATACTTTTTTATTATTTCACAAACTCAGATTATATCATCACCTAATATGACAAATGAATACAACATGATTTATATCTTTACCAAAATTATAAAAGAAGTAGCACAGTATTTGAGATTTATGATAAATCTTAGAATAATCTTGTCAGACCAGGGTTTTACTTTTGTTACGAGGAATGGCGGTTCTCATTTGTGAAGCTTCACCTAGGCAGATAGAGTGGTGATGGCAAGGGATTGTCTCACAGGCTTTACCTACCTGGCCAGCTTTTCTTGGAAGCACCTGGTGGTGGCTTCTTCTGGCTCATCTTGCTGAAGGAGCGTAGGGCTTTTCCAGGGAGTGGAGTTCCTCAGTTACTTCAGTACTTTGTGGGCCACAGTGGACCTACCCTGTTTCCCCGAAAATAAGACAGTGTCTTATATTAATTTTTTCTCCCAAAGTTGCGCTAGGTCTTATTTTCAGGTGATGTCTTATCTTTCCATGCACTAGGTCTTATTTTCGGAGGATGTCTTACTTTTTGGGGAAACATGGTAATAGGTCATTTCCTCACCTGACTAAGCAGCCAGGCAAGGCTCCATACCCTAGACCAGGGGTCTGCGACCTTTAAGACATAAAGAGCCACTTGGACCTGTTTCCGAAGGAAAAAAAAACCTGGGAGCCGCAAAACCATTGCAACATTTAAAACAAATATAACACTGCATATATTGATTCTTACCTTAATGCTATATACCGGATTGTGCAGTTAGCTGTCAATCTGAAGAAAAAAAGGACTTTTTCACTTAACAATATAAAATATATTTTTGCAAATTAATAGCTAATTAAAATATTTAATTTACCTCATTAATGGGAATTTTGCTCCTGAACCTCAGTGCACAGTGTCAGCACATCAGGGCTGTAAGACATTACCTTCATTTTCACACAGGCTTGCAAATTGTCGGAGCCGTGGTAAAGCTTCAAAAGAGCCGCATGCTACTCTGGAGCCGTAGGTTGCCGACACCTGCTCTAGACACTAAGAACAGCCAAGTTTATTCTCTAAAACCTGCTGTGAAATCTGTGTGTATTAATGTCTTTTTTATTGTTTGTGTTTCAATAGCTCAGCTTTCGCAGCTGACAGGCATAGGAAAAGAAAACTTTTGGAAAACTCATCACTAAACACCAAGTTACTAAAAGTAAATGTAAGTAATTAAAATTTATTCAAATATAAGAATTGTTTCAGATATAGTCTGCTTTATTACATTAATGATAGTCCTTGTTCACTTTTATAAGTATACTAGAAGCCTAGTGCATGAAATTTGTGCACAGGATAGGTCCCCTCAGCCCAGCCTGCATCCTCTCCAATCTGGGGCCCCTTCGGGAGATATCTAACTGCCAGTTTAGACCTGATCCCCAAACCGGCAGTTAGATATCCCTCTCACAATCCTGGACCACTGGCTTCTAATCACTTATCTGTCTGCCTGCCTGGTTGCCCCTTACTGCTCCCCCCACCCCCTACTGGCCCAGTTGCCCCTCACTGCCCCCCCTGCCAGCCTAATTACCCCCTACCGCCCTCCCCTGCCAGCCTGGTCATCCCCAACTGCACCCTCCTGCAGGCATGGTCGCCCCTAACTGCCCACCCGCCATCGGCCTGGTTGCCTCTTACTGTCCCCCCTGCCAGCCTGGTCATCCCCAACTATCCCCCCTTGCCAGCCTGGTTGTCCCAAACTGCCACCCCCTGCTGGCCTGGTCACCCCATGCAGCCTGCTGTTCAGTCATTTGGTCGACCCTCACTAACCACCCCCTGTTGGCCTGGTTGTGGGCAACCATCTTGTGAGAGCATGAGGGTTAATTTGCATAGTACCTCTTTATTATATAGGATGCGTTGGATTTAGAATATTTTATAAAACGTTTGCCACTTGTACCAATAATTCTTAATGTGGCTAAATACCCCAATGAGTCCAATTGACAGTGCCTTTCTTTTGTCAGGATTGCTACTGTACTCCGCCTTAGCAAGCATTTATTCTTTTTTTTAAAATTAATTAATTTTATTGACTATATTGGGGTGACATTGGTTAATTATATAGGTTTCAGGGGTACAATTTTATAATACATCATCTGTATATTTTATTGTGTGTTCACCACACCAAAGTGTTTGTTCTTAATGCCTACTCACGTACCTCATTACAATGTTTCTGTAAGATCCAAAGATCCTTGCTTTCTGTTAAAGTCCCTAGTATAAAATCTATGGGTCTGAAATGTTTTTCAGAATATTTATATTAATACTCTAAAAATTAAAGTCCTAAAAATTTCTTAGGACTTCATTAATATAACTTCACCATAAAAGAATATGCTTTCTCATTCTGGTAATTGTCTGTTACCAGATGTATGAGCCATTAATGGATTAGCAAAATTTTAAAATCATGAAATATTTATTTATTTTGAAACAATTTTTATTGATTTTAGAGAGAGAAACATAGATGTGAGAGAGAAACGTCTGTTGGTTGCCTCCCACATGAGCCCTGACTAGGCTTGAACCCACCACCTTTTGGTATACTAAACGACACTCCAACCAATTGAAACACTCTGGCCAGGGCAAAATCAGAAAATATTTCAATAATTTTACCTGTATCTATCTCTCTGCTCTTGTGCTAGCTATGTATAGACACACTCTTAAAGTGCCTCTATTTGGTGGAAGAAAGAGCTAATGTGTTCTCTGGCCAACTGAATTATGGTCAGAGATGCTTTGATTTGGATCGGTAGATTCACTTCCAATGTTCAGGGGTAGTATTCAGATGTCATGATGAATTTGTAGAGCTAATTAGAAAATCAAGCCTTAGTTTAAGGGAAAGTCAGGTGGTTTTTTAAGATTAATACTCTATTGCTAGAAAAATACATATTAGTTATTTATGCATGGCTTAGTGTTAAAAGTTTGGTGACAGAAATACTTGGGGTGTGTACATTTTTTTTTGTAACCTGTAGTAGTTTTAATAGAATCTTGTAATGGCATTAAGTCTTAATTTTGACTTCTTTTAAGGATCTTCCTGGTGTTTGCATTGTGTACTACATGGTACTTATTAATGCTGCTTTCCTCATAATCGTCCACAAGATACTCCCATTTAGAACAGTCCCAGGATTAGAAACAACCACCTAAACATGTGTAGACACTTATACAGAGAATATAAACAGATTTTGAAATATTAATTGGACAGAAAAGGACCAATTCCAGATTGGCTTGATGTTGGAGTTTCAAATATAGGCCTTTGCTTTGCTTTGATGTTTGAAACAGTTCTTCTCTTGGCATTACTGATGGCTGCTTCTTGTGCTATTTTACAGGGAAGCACCACTGCTATTTGTGCCACTGGCCTTCGGAATTTGGGAAACACGTGTTTTATGAATGCCATCCTTCAGTCACTCAGGTAATATGACTTAAGTATCTGCTGTTAGTTTCTAGTGGAATAGTTAAGAGCAAAGGCTGTGGGTTCAGATCCTCTCTGCCATCGACTCTAATCATATGGCTTGGGGCAAGTTACCTCAGTTCCTTAGATTTCTCATCAGTAAAATTGAGGATAATAATTCTACCCTAATTGGGTAGTATATAATATAATTTATATAAAGTGCTTATTAGAAAAGTACCTTGCATTAAATAACTGATAACAGTTATTATTTATTTTCTATTGCTTCTTGAATAGGCTAGAGCAGAGACCATCAAATTTCTTCTGTAAAAGGCCAAGTTAAATAAATATTTTTAATCTTTGCCTGCCACATATAGTCTCTCACATATTCTTCTCCCCTCAACCACCCCCTCCCTCCATTTTTAAACATCTGTTTTAAAATGTAAAAGCTCACTGGCCCAGGGCCAGATATGGTGTGTGGGCTGTAGTTTGCAGACTCCTGGGCTACAAGGAACTTGTTCAGAAAGCTTATTTGAATCATTAGTTGAGTCTTAAGTGTAGTCATAAGATTGGATGTTTAGAAGATCTTCAGAATGTAAGATAAGCAGTAAAAATAAAATGGCCAAGAAGGCTTCCCTAAGTTGTATAGAATAAATTATTTTGAAAGTTGTTTACTTTTAGATTTTAATGAGCTATCAAAAGTCAGAATAAATTATCTTCTGGAGACCACCTTGGGAATAAGGCAGAAGCCATATTTTTATTTCTTCTTAAAGGTACTGTTAGCTTATCCAGTTTGCCCAAAGAAGACATTTTAGTCACTACTGAATCCTCCTTGTTATTCTATATAGTGTATCTAAAGAGTATGTTTGGTTCTATGGGTTGTTTTTATTTGAGGGAATTGTTGACCACCTACAAACACCCTGAGAAGAAAGAAATGGTGACAACCAGTTCTAAGGATGTGTAGGGAGGGGAGATTGAGGATTTTTTTGAACAGATTTTGTTTTAAGATCTTTGTTTATTTCTGCAGTCATGTATTTAAACTTAGTATAAATGTGGGAACTTAATGAAGATACCCAGTGCAAGAGAATACGTTGAGTACAATTAAAATGAAAAGTTGAGATTGTGTTTTCACAAAATCCATATGTAGGTTTCATAGAACTTTCTTTACAGTAAATGAAAAAAAAAATAATTTTCTTCCCTTCCTTTTTAAATAGTAACATTGAACAGTTTTGCTGTTATTTCAAAGAACTGCCTGCTGTGGAGTTAAGGAATGGGAAGACGGCAGGAAGGCGAACATACCACACCAGGAGCCAAGGGGATAACAACGTGTGAGTTCTAAGACTATATTCTTTCTGGCTTTGATACAAAACAAAAGTCTCTTATTGGTGATTTCCATTGCATATGTCAGTACACAGGCACAGACATTAAAAAAAAAACAACTCTTCTAAAGGTTGTGTTTAAGTATCTAGCAGATAATCTTAATTATTGGTGGAATTCTTTTACATGTATTTACTTAAAAGGCAGCATAAATTTATCACTCTGCTTACTGAATTTTTGTGAATTTGAACATTCTAAAACTGATGTCTATATATATGAAATACAGTTTTAAGTGTAGACCAGCATGAATATCATAGTCTTTGTGAATTGGCTTGTCTGATATTGTTAGGTAAACCTCTCTTGGGCAATACAGTTCATTTTTCATTGACATGAAGAGGGGAAGAATTGATTAGTGATTATTGAGAACTAATATCTATTCAGTGCAGCCACACACTATTTGGGATTTAGATGATCTATCATATTATCATGATTGTAAGGGGCACGTTTTTTCATATCTTACCATTACTGCAACAGGTCTGTGGTTTATAATCTGGTGTGTGTGTTTTTTATTTTAACCAAAGATATTTTTTCCATTGATTTTTAGAGAGAGTAGAAGGGAGAGGGAGAGACAGAGAGAAACACTGATGTGAGAGAGATACATCCATTGGTTACTTCCCGCATGCCCCCAACTAGGCTGGGAGCCTGCAACCAAGGTACATGCCCTTGACTGGAATTGAACCTGGGACCCTTCAGTACATGGGCTGATTGGCTGATCTATCCACTGAGCCAAACCAGCTAGGGCATCTGTGTATGTTTTTAATGTAATGTTTTCCCTGCCTGCCCATCCCACACATTCTAAAAAGCTGTTTTATAACCTGGCACTGTTCTGCCTAGGTGGCTGAGGGAGAATAGGCTAGAACATGTTAGATGAGTATACCAGAATGGTTAGAGCCAAAATGTGGGGCAACTTTAAAGCCAGGCATTGGAGAGGGATGGAATGACATCACTGGAAGTGGTATTTTAAGAGTTTAGTTTGCCTGGCCTGCATGGCTTAGTGATTGAGCATTGGCATGGCTTAATGATTGAGCATTGGCATGGCTTAATGATTGAGCATTGACCTATGAACCAGGAGGTCAAGGTTCAGTTCACGGTCAGGGTACATACCTGGGTTGTGGGCATGATCCCCAGTAAGGGGCATGCAGAAGACAGCCTGTCAATGTTTCCCTCCCTCCCTCCCTCTCCCCCCCCTCTTCCTCTCTGAAATCAATAAACATATATTTAAAAAAGAATTCACTTAGATAATAGCATATAGGATGAACTGGAAAATGAAATAGGATGAACTGGAAAATGCCTGCATTCAGGGAGCCTCATACTCCATAGTAACTAGAAGCCCAGTGCATGAACTCATGCACAGGTGGGGTCTGGCTGGTCTGCCCTGATAGGGGTTGGGGAGCCTGATCAGGGGTGGGGCTGGTTGGGTGGAGGCACTGCAGGCTGTTGGTTGGTTGGCCCTGCTCCCTCATTGAACTTAAGGTCGAACTCCCAGTCAAGGGGACAATTTGCGTATTAGCCTTTTATTACATAGGATTGGGTTGGAGGGGATAGCAGTGAAATGTAGAAGAAAAAATGCATGTGCACAAAACTTAAGGGAAGAGTGAGTAGTACTTGATGTATTAACCATTTAGGGTTTAGTTACAAACTGTAGAAATTGCTTCTGGCTATGTAAAGCAGAAAAGGAATTTACTGAAGGTCTAATTGATGTGCTAACCATTACTAGATAGGTAGAAAATCAGGTGTGAAGTTCGGGCATCTAGAACCAAAGCCACAGTCACTCCACAGAACTTCCCCATGAAAACACTGCTTTTGCTGCCAGGTGCAACCAGAGCTCCCACTGCTGGCACTGCTGCATCTGGGTGCGTGGTGAACTACAGATGGTGATTTTTGCCACCAGAAAGGCTATGGTACTGTCCCAGTTTCTGTGCATCACTAACACCTGCTTCAGCTAAGCAGAACCCAGGCCCTGTGTCTGCTTCCTGCAGTGGGCGTGGAGGGATAGGCTGGGAAAGCAAGTATCTGGACTTTCCAGCTTCCATCGCAGGAGACAGGCTCTGACTCTCACCAAGACTAAGATGGAGAATCCTCAAATAAGTTCAGGCACTAAGTAAAAAATGTACTTTGTATTCCAGGGACCTACAGGATAACGGGTTGAGAAAGAAGATACTGAGATTCCCTGAGTCATCTTATCTATTTGCTATCCATGAGTATGATATTAATAGTTTATTGACAGATATAGTCATTGAAGTTGAGGAGGTGTTATCAGCTTAGCTACATGCATAGATAACCAAAATTAACTGTGACCTAAACATCCATGGTTTATTTTCTCACGCAAAAGTTAGAGTTTCTGTCTAGGACTGTTTCACGCAGTCTTTAGGCTCCTTCTCGCTCTCTGTGCCATCAGCCCTGGGTGGGGCTCTCAGCCACACAGTGCAAGACGATGCTGGAGGTCTAACTGGAGGCCCCCAGTCCATCCTCATTCCAGCTAGAAGGAGGCAGGAAGGGTTAATAAGGACTATTTCTCTTTAGGAAATTTCTCAGAATTTAAACACACTTAAAGTTTTGTATTCCAGGAATTTATGTGCCAAAGGGAAAAAAGGAAGTTTTATTCCTACGGAGAAGATAAGAATGGATATTGGAGGACAATAGGGAGAGTACAGAGAGCAGGTTCAGTGCATGTTTAGTTTGAAGTGGCAAGAGGACATTCAGTGGAAAATTCCTGTTGGAAGCTGGAGAAATCTGAATAAAAGTTATCATGAGAAAATGTAGCTTTTAGATTTGGATTTTTGAGAGTCATTAGTATGGAACCGAATGTTGAAGCTTTGTGGTCAGATGGACTCTCTGAGGCAGAGAAGTGCCCCTAGTGAGGGGCAAGAAGGAGAAATGAAGATTTTAAGTTTGAAAAATGTATATTCTTCAATAATTTGGTTTGTAACTTACCCATTGCTTTATTGTTCAAGGATGACAGTCTTTTGGCACAGACTTCACCATATGGTTACAAAACTAGTTTTCTCAGTAATTACTTCTATTTACATGAATTTTTTAAAGGCTTTTACTTAATTGTCAGACTTAGCTCAGAAGAGACCAGGCCCTCTTAATGTTTTTATTGTATAATTTGTTGTGAACTTTAGACAGTTGACATTATGCATTGTAATAATAGCCTCTCATTAATGCTCAGGGTCTTGTCCCTCCTCTTTTGCAGGTCTTTGGTGGAAGAGTTTAGAAAGACACTATGTGCTTTATGGCAAGGTAGCCAAACTGCATTTAGCCCAGAGTCCTTATTTTATGTTGTTTGGAAGATTATGCCAAATTTTAGGTAAGTATTATTTAATGAAAGATACTTAAAACATTAATATTAGTCTTTATATTGTTCCTGAAACAATTTCCAGTGAAGTGGTGGTATTCTAAATAGCAAAGACTGGTTTTGCTATTTATTTATTTATTTATTTATTTATTTATTTATTTATTTATTTAAAGGAGGAGAACAGAAGTTGGATATATCTGACTAGATAAATGTTTGTTTAAATAATAGATATTTGAATGTTTTTAACAAAGGGTAAGGTGTACTGTTGTTATAAAAACAAAGGCCAGTTTCCATGTCTTAGCTATTATAATTATGAATATAGGGGTGTATATATTCTTTCAGATTGGTGTTTCAGGATTTTTAGGATATATTCCTAGAAGTGGGATCACTGGGTCAAATGGCAGTTCCATTTTTAATTTTTTAAGGGATCTCCACACTGTTTTTCCATAGTGGCAGTACCAGTCTGCATTCCCACCAGCACTATACTAGGGTTCCCTTAGTACACCCTCACCAACACTTGTTGTTAGTTGATTAATTGATAATACCGTGTTTCCCGAAAATAAGACCTACTTACAGGTTTCCTTCTGAGTGAAATATAAGGCATCCCCCTGAAAAAAAAGCCCCCCCTAAGCTAAACATGAGAGATTTGGCCCACTGATTCTGAAAGAAATGGAGTCACAAGAAATTCACCAGGAAATTCACGAATTGGATTGTTATGATGATGTTCCAGAAGATGATGACATGATTGTCATTGAATAAATGAGTAAATTCTTGATACTGTAGGATTCACAGTTTGTCTGGTTTGTGTTGACAACTACCATACCGTATTCAGGTAATAAATTTCCTTTATTTTCATTTAACAATAAATGTGTACCGTATTCTTCTTCATGGAAAAATAAGACATCCCCTGAAAATAAGACCTAGTGCATTTTTGGGAGCAAAAATTAATATAAGACACTGTCTTATTTTCGGGAAAACAGGATAGGCATTCTGGTAGGTGTGAGATGATAACTCATTGTCATTTTAATTTGCATCTCTCTGATTATTAGTTCCCATTGGTAGATGAGTGGATAAAAAAAGCTGTGGTACATTTACACCACAGATATATGCCGATATATGCAGCAGTAAAAAGGAGGGACCTGGAGATTACTATGCTAAGTGAAATAAGCCAGTCAGAGAAAGGCAAATATCACATGATTTCACTTATGTGGAATCTAATGAAAACAATAAACTGATGAATAAAACAGAACCAGTGGCATGGAAACATGGAACAACTGACAAATCTCAGAGGAAAGCGGGGAAGGGGGTGAGAAGAGATTAACTAAAGAATTTATATGCATATACATTGCCTGTGGACCCAGACAATAGGGTGGTGAAAGCCTGGGGGGCAGTAGGACACTGATGGGGGGGAGGTGTTAGGAGCAGAGGGAAGAGAGAAGAGGGGATATCTTTATACTATCAATAGTAAAGTCTCTTTTTAAAGCCCTTATGAATTATTTAATGTGCTCTAGGAAAACATACCGACAAAATTTCCTTGATTCTTTCAAAACCTTATAAAGAATAATCATACACTATCTTATTATTTCAACTAAAAAAAAAATCAAATGTAATCAGTAGATGTCTATGGTATTATATCCACAGTTCTGCTCTGGGTCCTGACGGTTTTAGGAGATTAGTCAAGTCCACTGGGATTCACTTTCTAGAAGGTTGCTGGGTCTCATCCTAATGTGGCTTCAGAGTCCCTGTGTTTTCTGTGCTTGCTGTCTAGCCTCACTCGAGTAGGGAAAGAGCTCTGCTGACTAATCCTACCTCCCCTCCTATCTTAGTCCTATTTTGTTCATCAGCCCTAGAACTTCAGGCAATAGCAGATTTGGGGCATTGCAGGTGTTTGACAACAGCTATACCACCTTGTTGATTTTATCATTCTGAAGCAATCATGGTTTTTACTACTCATGATTTAGACACATAATGTACATCCTTCTTTTTGTTGTTTTAAACTAAATCAGCATGCTGTAGTGAAACTTAGTATAAATCTTGTTCTGTTTAGATATATGCGTCGTATAGAGAAATGTTTAAAAGGTAATAACTTCAAAGAACTGTAAGTTGTTGTGATTGAGTGTTGTTACCTCTGATCTTTGTTCTGAAGAAACTTCTTTTGTGTATATCATGCCATTTAAGTCTCTCAGGAGAGACTAATTTTGTAAGAATTTTAAGATTTCTTGACTCTTAAGTAGGAAAGGTGAAAATGACTGTTAAGTTACTACTGATCTGGTTTGGACTTAATATAAAATTTCTGACATACCTAGTTAGATTGTTGATAGAATTTAATATTTATGTTTTATTGTATAAAATATTTATTTTATTTTTTAAATATGTTTTTATTGATTTCAGATAGGAAAATAAATAAATGTGTACCGTATTCAATAAAACTCCATACTGTTCTGCTTGGTTCCCATGATGATTCAGGCCCCTCATTCTTAATTAGGAGTTTAGAAACATTATAAAACTTTTATTCAGTAGAATTCTACTTTTCCTCTAAATCTGCCCACATCTCTTCCCTTTATATTTTCTGTGAGCATGATTTTGTTTTTTTGTGGTTTGTTTTTTTTTTAAAGAATAGTTCTTTGATTTTGAGAGCAAGAGAGAGAAACATCGATGTGAGAGCACATTGATTGGCTGCCCCCTGCCTACCCCCTACCGAGTATCAAGCCTTCAATCCAGACATGTGCCCTTGACCAGGAATGGAACCGGCAACCTCCTGGTACATGGAAAGATGCCCAACCAACTAAGCCACACCAGCCAGGGCAAAGTAACATTTTATTCATTAATTCTTTTTAAAGATTTGGGTAGTAAATATGGGTTGCCTCATTGTGCCAAAAATTGTTGTGAAGAGCCAGTTGCCCCGTGAGCCTGCCATCCATTGTGCTTCAGATTGCCCTTCTCAGCCTCTCGTTCAGAAGGGGTGGTTCATGACCCTTCAGGCTTTTTATATTTGCAGTGTGCTCTCCAATAGTTATTTCTCACAGCATCTTTAGGACACAGATTTTCTGTAGATATTAAGGAGAAGGAGGTAATTTTTAAGGTAGAACAAGTGAAGATAAGGAAGTGCTAAAATTAGAGTCACTTTTATTTCCCTCTGTCTTCTCTCATTTCTGCTCTGTCAGAGATGACAGTGGGTTCTTCAGATACCCATTTCCTCAGTAACTCACAAACATCTGTTTGGGTGACATCCATGAAATAATTTGTATACAAAACACAAGTACTGCACCCAAATGAGAGTAGTGTTTCCTTTATGTGATTAACAAACAAGAGGTTTGTTGATTCTAAATTTACTACAAGGAAACTCTGAAGCTTATATTGTATATTTGGCAAATAATTAAAAAGTTAACTGAAGTTTGTTGAATTTAACATACTAAATAATAAGATTTCCATATAATTCAATAAAAGGTTTTATTTAAATGTTTAAAAATGGAATTGTAAATGTCTCTTTAGTTAGAATTAGAAAAGTTTCCTAGTCTTAAAAGAGACTGTTTTCTGGTAAAGATCACACATTAAAATCCATAACTTACTTTTATAAAAATGCTGAGTGTTCCATGATCTCATGTAGGTAAAAAATGTGTTTCCAATGGTAAAAAATAAACATTAGAATATAATATATTTTGATAAAAGAATATGAAATCATGGTGTGGTTGGAAACATTCATTAGTATACATTAGGAACATTATTTTTTTTAAAACATATCTGATGAAAATGCAAATTGGCATAACTACAATGTACTGACTGGTTTTTCATGATCCATTTTAGAAACATGATGATTAGATATCAGGTTATTTTGGTGAAGGAACAGAACTATTTTTATATGTGTAGAACTTCACACATGTCCTAAAGTAGTAATAATACCTTTGAGTTATGAAAAAATAAAGGATGTTGTATTGAAAAGGTTTAAAGCACCTCTTTAGGTACATAAAGGAACTATCAACTTTGAATGAGTAGTTTTGACTGTGAATGTTAACATTTATTCATATGAATCTTAGAAGAAGTATTTGAACACATATTGGTATTTTCTAACTAAGTAGTTCAGAAAAAGTTATAGTGCAGTGCCAAAATGACTTCTGATTTAAGTTCCATTGATTAGGCAGACTATTTTCATAATTTATTTCCAGGAGAAATTTCAGGAAAAGGGGGAAAATATAGATTGAGGGAAACTCTGGTTGAAAGAAATTTTGTTTATGGAACCATTGCCTGGAAGAGTGGTGGAAGTTTTGACTCAAGACCAAGCCAGAAAACCTTGAGATTTAGAGGATAGATTAAAGAGAACCTTCCATGCTGGCAAAATGTAGGCAGAAATCTTTTCCATCAACAGTTTTATGCAAGTACCTTGTATTTCATTGCTTGATTTATTTTATCTATATAAACCCCTATCGCCTTCCAGTTGTATCAGCTTTATTTTCTATCAGTCTTCATTTCTGTTTTCTTGTCATTGGTGTGCATTAGTATCAGAATTCCAAGTATTTCCTGTTTGAATACAGTGAAAGAAGTAATCTAAGAAAATGTTGCTATATATATTCAAATTTTAGGATAGAGAATAATTGTGTATGAGTCAATGCATTTTTAAAAATGTTTATTTAAAAGTGTCTTTTGAATCGAGATTAGGATTTAGGTTTAGAATGGTAGATGTCTTTTTAACCCTTTATAAAATGTTTCTTATCTTTCAGCCAGTGCTTAAAAATTAGTATCTTTCAATCTAAAGAATTAGTTTTAGATTCTTTATTTCATGAGGTAGTGGTTTAGATTTAGTGTTATGGTAACGTTTAGTTGTGAAATTTTAACAGTTTAGCATCTTCTGGACAGGCCAGTGGGACAGTGGGAAGATTCAGAGTCCATCCAGGAGAGAGACATGGGTTATAGCTCCGTCTCTGCAGGACTTTAGGCAAATCCCACCCTCACCCCCCTTTTTTACCTCATCTCTAAAGTTTGTTCATTTGAGATCATTACAAGTCCAATTACCTCTAATATTTTTGAATTCCAAACAATTATTTTTCTTGCTGAGAAATTTTGTGTGTAAAACATGGAGCATGTGGGGATGAAAAGTCTCCAGGAGCCTCCCTGAGTCTAAGCTCTGAGCACCGGGTGTATCTCCGCCCCACGCTTTTCCTCCTGTGGGCTTGGCCGGGCAGGTGGAGCCTCCCCCATGACAGATGTTTGTGTTTGTTTCAGGGGCTACCAGCAGCAGGATGCCCATGAATTCATGCGCTACCTTTTGGACCACCTGCACTTGGAACTCCAGGGCGGTTTCAATGGTGTATCCTGCTCACCAATTCTGCAGGAGAATTCTACCCTGTCTGCAAGTAACAAATGTTGCATGTAAGATTTAGTTTCCTTTGCTGTTTTAGGAGAACCTCAGATATTTCTGTTGGTGTTATTTTTTGTTAGATTTATAATGGAAGGCGGAGAGTTTTCCTTAATCTTTGCTGAAAATGTTTGCTCTTGAACTTTGTGACCATGGACTGGCTGGCACATGCCTCCCACTTTCAGACAAGAGCCATTTATATTTACATTACTGGCCAGGCCTAGGAACCCTACCCTATATATTGGGAACAGTCTGTTAGATTTAAAAATTAAAACCTGGCAAGGCTGCTCTAACACTGAAAAAACAGGATGATGCAGCGATGACATGCATGGGCCCTGGCTTGCACATTTTGTGGTCAGCCCTGATTCTGACACTTATAACTGTGTGACAAAGCCAATTACTTAACTTCTCTCTGCTTCAGTTTTCCACCCATAAGATGGGGGAAATGGTACTACTGCCTCAGAAAGGTCATGTTATGTACTACTTTTTATAATCAGGGCAAAAAATGTAGCTGCCCACACAACAGCTAGATGCCTTTCTCCTGTATGAAAAGTATGGTCACTGGTGCATGCAGCGTCCCAGATTGTGAGAGGGATGTCTGACTGTCGGTTTATGCCCTATGGAGACTGGGCCTAAACCAGCAGTCAGACATCCTCCGAGGGTGCAGGCCGGGCTGAGGGGACGAATTTACGAATTTCATGCACTGGGCCTCTAGTTATTCATAATATTCTAAGTGAGCTTTTTAAGTCCTTGACCGTAACATTCAGCACTTCAATTGTGAAGTCAGAACTCCCCCAGTAATTACTAAATAAGTATTACATTTCTTCTTTTCCCCCAAACCTGACAGATGACCATCTGAAAAATGGAAATCTACTTCCGATTGAGGTAGTGATTCAAAGTAAAGGAATTGAGAGCTCTCTGTAAGATGAGAGGCCGTGGAAAGACTCAAATATAAGGCGGTTCCCACTTTTCTTCGGCATATAATTGTGGGGAAGGTGTTCTCTGGCCCTGAGTGTGACTCCTGTTAGGAGTGGCAAATGTCTAGTGTCGGTTAATATTGGAAAAAGTAGTAGGTAGATAGTTTGGGGGGGAAGACCCAACAATGGCTTAACCCTCTTATTTAGAATACATTTATATAGATTTAAACTTTTTGCATTATTTTATAATTTAAATATAAATTGTTTCTTTTTTTTTACTGAGATGTTTTCTTATGTGATTTTCTTTAGAAATGGAGCATCTACAGTTGTCACGGCTATATTTGGAGGCATTCTCCAAAATGAGGTTAACTGCCTTATATGTGGGACAGAATCTAGAAAGTTTGATCCATTCCTAGGTAAGACATATTTGTATGTGGAGATATTATATTTAAATAATTTTATTTCCTTTGAAAATTAAGACAGTGAAGATAAATCATTAAAAATACATAATTTGCCCTAGCCGGTTTGGCTCAGTGGATAGAGCATCAGTCTGCAGATTTAAGGGTCCCAGGTTTGATTCCAGCCAAGGCACATGGCTGGGTTGTGTGCTCAATCCCTAGTAGGGTGTGTGCAGGAGGCAACCGATGATTCTCTCTTATCATCTCATCATTGATGTTTCTGCCTATCTCTCCCTCTCCCTTCCTCTCTGAAATGAATAAAGGAATATATATATTTTTTTAAAAAACAATTTTTGAAATTACTCTTTGAGTTATATGTCTTTTACAGTTGTTTTCTTATTTCCTTTTAAGACCTTTCATTAGATATTCCAAGTCAATTCAGAAATAAGCGCTCTAAGAATCAAGAAAATGGACCAGTTTGTTCATTACGAGGTAAGATATTAAATTAATATCTAGAATTCTTTTTTCCCTCTGAAATATATACTTGTAAGTTCCATCACTATGTGCTGTGTTGTTAATCACTTTAATGAATTTGTGTTGTAACTTAACAAAAATTAAACCTGGATGTCTCTTCCTGTCCAAAAAAATTCAGTTTAATGAGAAGGCCTTTCAGAGATAGTAGGTCAAGCATAAAACATCTTTCACTTTTCTCTTTTAAAAGTGAAAGTTCATAACAAAACCTTTTCTGACCTAATGAAATATAATTATTCTATGGATATCCCACTAGTATCCACAGGAAGAAAGATACTCTGCAGAGTTTTATGAATTATGGTGTTATTTATGCTTTTGTATGACAACTAGTGTGAGAAATCTGTTGATGATATCATTGATTAAACATAGGCCCTACTTTTAATTGCAAGAATATTAAAATTTACATTTAATTTGCAAGATTTTGAACAACTTTTTTCCTTGGTGAGTATTAACTACTTTAGTGAAGGCAAGAGCCACTATAATGACTAATTGTTCTTTTTAGTCATAAAAAGAAGAAACTAGGATAGAAAAAAGAGGACCTAGTAAATGTTCTATCATTAAGCAACTGTACACTGAAGGCCAGCAACATAATTTCTGCCCTAAATTGCATGTTGACTAAAAGTAATTTTTTTTCCTTCAACTGTTTCAGGGAGTATTGTCACAATTATAGTTAGACTATAGGCCCACTGTACAAATTCGTGCATGGGTGGAGTCGGGCCGACTGGGCTCCAATCCACCCCGATTAGGGTCAGGCCTGTCAGGAGGAGGAGATGGTGGTAGGTTGGCTGGCTGGTCCAGATTGGGACCTGATCACGGCCAGGTTGGCTGGGAGGGAGGGGCTGGGGGCGATTGGCCAGCCGGCCCCACTCCCGAATGGAGTGGGTGGCCAATTGGATGCCAGCAGGCTGGGGGAGGAGCCACGGGTGGTTGGCCTGCCGTCCTTATCCCTGAAAGGAGTGGGGGGCTGATCAGGGGCAGAGCTGACTGGGGGTAGGAGCCTTGGGCCTATCTGGGTGGTAGGAGCTTATTGGGGCGGGCGGCTGGAGGGAGGGGCTGCAGGAGGTTGGATGGCTGGCCCCATCTCCTATTGAGGTAGGTGGGGCTATCAGGATGGTGCTGTCTGGAGGGAGCTATGGGGGTGGGGGGAGAGGGGAGAGGGTTAGCTGTTCACCTCACCCTCGATTTGGGTGGGAGGCCCATCAGGGGCAGGGCCAGCCAGGGGGAGGGGAGCGGGAGATTAGCCAGCTGGCACCACCCCTAATCAGGCCTATTTGCTGGCTGCAGTGGGCGTCATAGTGACCGGTCATTAAGTTGTTATAGTGTTCTGGTCCCTGGCTTTTAGATAGATAGATAGATAGATAGATAGATAGATAGATAGATAGATAGATAGACAGACAAGAAGGTTTTGTGTTTTTTATGTTTTTAAAGAAGAGATTTGAAAACTGCACTGCCTTGTATGGCAACCATAGTTGCATGTGGTTATTAAAATGCAATTAAAATGACATTGAAAATTTTTCATTGCTCACCTGCACTAGCCATATTTTACATGTTCAAGAACCATGTGGCTGTTGGCTATGGTATTCAACAGCACAGATGCAGAACATTTCCATCATTGCAGAAAATTCTCCTGGACAGCACTGCTCTAGAATCAGCTTCTCCGAGTAAAAAGATAGCTGTCTGGGGAGGGGCGAGCTTCTGTGTCACAGGTGCACTGTGCGGCCTTTGGCTTGTAAATAGGAGCTGCGGAGTCTTGCTTGTAGAACTGTGGCTCAGGCAGTTTCTGGAAATCTCTCAGTGGATGACTGTCAAAGGCACTGAATTACTCTGAGAAACAAGAGCAAACCTGCTCTCATAGATGCTTTCAGTTTGTTCCCCCCTGGGTGAGTGTGGATTGTCTCTGTTGAACAGGAGTACAGAAGAAGTTTTAAGGAAGCCCTGTCCACTCCACTTCCCTAATATATAGACTATTGTGTGTTTCTCTAAAACTGTTTTTGGCTTGAGATCAATTTTTTAAATATCACAATATACTTGACATCAGATATACTTTATATTTGTAGCATATGAATACAGGTGAACTTAATCTATAATAATAAAAGCATGATATGCTAATTAGACCAGAGAGCCACACAACCTTCCATCAGACATTCTTCCTGATGAAGCCTTGGCAGGGGGGCTGAGGCAGGGCAATCAGGCAGGCAGGCAGGCGAGCATTTAGGGGTGCTCAGGCAGGCAGAGTGGTTGGGGGCAATCAGGCAAGTGAGCAGTTAGGAGCCAGTGGTCCCAGATTGTAAGAGGGGTGTCCTGGAATTCGAGAGTGTGCAGGCTGGGCTGAGGGATCCCCCCGCCCTCTGTACACGAATTTCATACACCAGGCCTCTAGTCATAAAATAAATATTTGAGCCGAAACAGGTTGGGCTCAGTGGTAGAGGGTTGGTCTGCGGACTGAAAGGTCCCAGTTTTGATTCCTGTCAAGGGCATGTACCTGGGTTGCAGGCACATCCCCAGGGGGGCGGGTGTGCAGGTGGCAGCTGGTCGATGTTTCTCTCTCATCGTTTCTAACTCACTCTCTCCCTCTCCCTTCCTCTCTGTAAAAAAATCAATAAAATAAAAAAATTTAAAAAAAAACTTAAAAAAATAAATATTTGATCAGTTAGAGGGAATCAGTAAAAATTAAATTATTAAAGGAATTAGAGAGCCTAAAACTATATAATCTAAATTGGATTGACTTTATTTTGAAATTTCTCCAAGAAGTCTTTTTTTTTTTTTTTTTTTTTTTACACAGAGGAAGAGAGAGGGATAGAGAGTTAGAAACATTGATGAGAGAGAATCATTGATCAGCTGCCTCTTGCACACCTCCTACTGGGGATGTGCCCACAACCAAGGTGCCTGCCCTTGACCGGAATCGAACCCGGGACCTTTCAGTCCGCAGACCAACGCTCTATCCACTGAGCTAAACCGGTTTCGGCGAAATTTCTCCAATAAGTCTTAATATTGGCATTAGTTTAAAAAAAAAAATACTGTCCCTTGATATAAACATGTGGGTATATATTTAAAAAGTATTTCCTAATAAAACCCAATAAATCCAGATGCTCTTTGGTGGAAGCCCCAAGAAATACTTGTTTGTTCAGGCTTCTTTCCTTTTTTTTTTTTCCCCCTGTGTGTCTCCTCCCCCGCTCTCCCCCCCCTTCTCCCCAGCCCAAATTGGTCATATTCATGGTTCTTTGTAGCTTTGCACTTATTACCCATCCCAGATGCTTCAATACCAGCCTTCCTTTCTTAAGACCACCCTGGAGCGTGCGTGACACAGCGTCGTGGTTAATTGGTACTACAAACAAGAAAATTGGCAGATGGAGTTAATAAACTGGAAACAAACATTTGTAATGTAAGAGAGAGTACTTGGGCAAAGTATATTAAGAAGAAAAAATGCAAATGGTCAATTTAACATCTGAAAAATGTCTCACATTTTCAAGTATAAGTAAAACAGAATTGGTCAAAATGATAGATAATAGCCGTTGTTAGTGAAAATTTTGAAAGTGGGCTCTCATATTGGTGTTAGGAGTATAAATTGGTGCAGTTTTTGGAGGGTAGTGATAATTTTTAATAGGCATTTCCTTAGACATAGTAATTTCACTTGCAAATGTGGACAGTAACATATGTAAATGATATTCATTGGAGCATTCTTTGTTACTGCAAGACATCAGAAACAATTTATATGCCCAACAGTAGGGTATTGGCTCAATAAATTATACTATGTAGCAATTAAGAAATCTAAAGTTGATGAATAGCCCAGGCACAGAAAGATGAATACAAAATATTATAGAATAAAACACTCCATGGATGTATGTATTTTGAATTAACCCATTTGTATATGATAAAAAAAAAAAACATTAAAATTCTTGAACAGCATACACCGTCTGTTCACAGTGATTATCTTAAGGAATGGGATTCAGGAATAAATGGAATTGTGACTTCTTTTTCGTGTTCTTTTATATTGTTTGAATTTTTTAACTTTTGTCACCTTTATAATTAGGTATTTATTTGAGAGGAATAAAAATATGGATTAATTTATGCATACTTCACTATTACTGCTTTGCTAAATTAAACTTACATAATATATAAAAATGACTCAATAACTTCAACAAACCAGTTTTATTTCTTGCTTTCTATAGGAATTCTGTTTAACAGTTAATATAATGTAGAAGACTGACATTTGTGAAATATATGCCCCGAAAGCTTTGAGAATCTTAGGAGTTTAAAAAACCACCAAGACATTTTTTCCCCCTCATGAAATACAAATGAAAATTTAAGCAGCTTCTTGAGGTTCTTAATGAGAGAAGTGAAGGTCAGTAGAGAGCAACCAAGCTTTGCTGAGGTGTGACTGTGGATGCCTACTAGAGACAATTCACTTCCATACATAAGCTTTGAGGTGAAATTCTTACTTGTGCTGCTGCAAAATATTACTCTAGTACATCCAGGGTCAGAGTTTTCAAATATTTAAAACTAGAGGCCCAGTGCATGAAGTTCGTGCACCTGGTGGGCGGGGGTTTCCCCAGCCCAGCCTGTGCCCTCTTGCAGTCTGGACCACGCCATCCACTGCCCTCCCGCCTCAGCCTTCAGCTTGGTTGCCTGGGCCTCCCTCTTTGGGGCCATCAATCGCAGAGTCCCCCCACCCCCCTTCATCAGTCATCCCGAAGAGGGTGGCCTGGGCCTTTCTCTGTGGGGCAATGGTGGGGCCCCCCTGACCAATCGCATCACTCCCATCTTGGCTGGCCTGGCGTCAGTGCGTGTCATAGCATGCTGCTGTTGGGCTCTTCAATTGATTTGCATATTACACTTTTATTGTTATATAGATGGCAACTGTCAAATCTATGAGTGTAGAGGAGATGCTATATTGAGGCACTCTTTGAGGCGATCTTGCTCTTAAAGAGATGTGTGTGGATGTGTTTTCATAATGGTTTTCCTTATTACAAACAAGGAAAATTCAAAAGAGAGCAGAGAGGAAAATAAATACCCATTCCTTATAAGCCCACTGTCCAGAAATACCATAATTAAGAATATTTCTGTTTAGCCAAAACCGGTTTGGCTCAGTGGATAGAGCCTTGGCCTGGGGACTGAAAGGTCCCGGGTTCGATTCTGGTCAAGGGCATGTACCTTGGTTGTGGGCACATCCCCAGTAGGGGGTGTGCAGCAGGCAGCTGACCAATGTTTCTAACTCTCTATCCCTCTCCCTTCCTCTCTGTAAAAAATCGATAAAACATATATTTAAAAAAAAAAAAAGAATATTTCTGTTTAAAAACATTTAAAAGCTGTTTTATAAAGGGGCATCGGTTGGAACTTTTTAGGGAAAAAACTGTTTTGTTTTTGTTTTTTAATCCCTAGAAACCATTACAAATGGGCATTGGGTTTTCAGAAGAGCTTAGGAAGCTTTTAAAAACCCAGATGGAGGTGACTGGTAGTTCAGCACTAGCTCAGCAAGAGTGCATGATGCTGCTTCGTTGTTGAAATTCCCTCGTGGCTGCCCCGGGCACACCAGCCTTCTGACCTGATGCAGCTGACAGTGAGGCTGCTTCATTGCCTGGGCACAGTAGCAGTTGTGGGGTTCCTAAGCCTGTTGTAGCCGCAGGGAGAGGTGTGAAAAGAAAGAAGAAAAAAAAAGGGCTCCTAGAGGCCACCATTTTTAAACCGAGCACCTGAAAACCCAGGCTCAGCTTGTGTGTTTCTTTGACATGCTTGGATGGGCCTTTCATTCTGTTTTGGTTTATCACGTGGCCTCACATGAAAAGGAGGAAACTGTGCTATCTTGTGTAAATAGGCTGTGGGACCACTTTGTGGTCACCCTGTAAGTCTTAGCTTCTCAAAAAGGTAGAAGGAAGAAAAAGTTGGGAAGCAGGAAGTGCTGGGGGACAGCGAGAAGCTGAGGGAGAGGAAGGGGTTGGAGAAAAGGAGCAGGTGATGCAGGGCCTGGTGCTTCCACCTTTGGCTATTGTGAACAGGGCTGTTCTAACATAAATGTACAGATGCCTGTTTGAGTCCCTGCTTTCCATTCTTTTGGGTGTAGGCTTAGGAGTGGAATTGCTGGATCATATGGTAATTCTATGTTTAACTGGTTTCCTCAGTGGCTGCACCTTCTGACCTTCTCATCAGTAATGCATGAGCGTTCTAATTTCTCCACATTCTAGATAACATGTTATTTCCCATTTTTAAAAAATAATAACCATCATGAGTATAAAATGTGTCTTGTTTATTTTTTAAACTTTATATATTTTTTTAATCCTCTCCCGAGGATATTTTTTTATTGATTTCATTTTTTAAAATATTTTTATTTCAGAGAGCAAGGGGAAGAGAGAGATATATACATATTGAAAGGAGTCTAGTACAGAGGATTCATTGCAGTACAGGAGGAAGACCAATAAGGTGGCCTTCTGTAATCTATGTTTATTTTCTAATAAGTTATGATGCCAGGCACTTTGTACACATTATTTGTCTCCCTTACAGCAGTTCTTCTTAGTAGGTATTATTGTTGTTGTTTTTTTAAAAAAATATTTATCTTTTACAGAGAGGAAGGGAGAGGGATAGAGAGTTAGAAACATTAATGAGAGAGAAACATCAATCAGCTGCCTTTTGTACACACCCCACTAGGGATGTGCCCCAAACCAAGGTCCATGCCCTTGATTGGAATTGAACCTGGGACCCTTCAGTCTGTAGGCTGATGCTCTTATCCACTGAGCCAAACTGGTTAGGGCTTGTTGTTTTTTAAAATCTTCATTTTGTAACTGAGGAGAGCTGACTTTTCCACAGTCACACATCGCAAATAGAGCTGAGATGTGAGCCTAAGTTGTTGACTTTTAAAGGTCAGTCTTTTTCCACAGTAATTGCCTTCATTAAAGACTTCCCGATGTAATGCTGCCAAAACCCATTTGGTTTTAGATTGTCTTCGCAGTTTTACCGACCTGGAAGAGCTTGATGAGACAGAGTTATATATGTGCCACAAATGCAAAAAGAAACAAAAGTCCACTAAAAAGTTCTGGATTCAAAAACTACCCAAGGTGAGTGTTGAGTTTCAGATTCTAATGCAGTTTCAAGGGAACAGTGCTTTTATGACTGATTAAAAGCAAATTGTTTCTGTAACTTTATGTAATCTCTCCTGTATTAGTCTCTAGTGTTTTCAGTAAAAGCTAAATAAACCCTCTGATAAGGCATGCTTTAATGTGTCCCCATCAGAGTTTGCAGAGTGTGGAGCTCGGTGACCCACACTCCAGCTCAATCCTGACACCAGCTGAGGGAACGTCAGGTTAAGGGCTCAGTCCCATGACTGTCCTCCACCTCAGAGCCAGTCATATGCCCAGATTGTACTTTAGGTTTCTGACATACACATTGGAGGTGATCTTAAACCCCGCCCCTCACCCCTTTGCCCTTTAGATGCTTACGTCTTCTGATTGGCTGTATGTCAGAGGTTTCCACCCTCCATCCTTGGGTTCCATTAATTTGCTAGAGGAGCTCATAGAACTGAGGAACCCTGTTTACTTGCTAGATTACTGATTTATTACCAAGGATAGAAATAAATAATCTGATGAAGAGATACACAGGATGAGGTTCCAAAGGACCCTCCTGCCTTGTGGAGTTTGGGGCCAGCATGGGGCATATGAAAGAAAGCATTCTGGTTCCCCAACCTGGAACTCTCCAGGTGCCCTCATGGCATAGACATGACTGATTAAATTACTGGCCATTGGCCATTGATTTAACTTCCAATTCCTCTACCCTACCCGAGATCAGGGAGGTAGGCCCTCATCCTAAAGTGAGTCACCTCATTCATTAACTAAAGACCTTCATCGCTCTGTCACTTAGGAAATTCTAAGAGTTTTAGGAGCCATATACCAGAAAAGGGAACTACAACCAAGTAATACATTTCATTATTACAAATCATAATATCACAATAGTGCGTGCATGGAAGAAAGCAATGTCAAGGATCAAAAGATAAACTGAAAGCCACCTAAAATATTTGATAGACAGTTAACCAAGTAGTTTGTTTACAATCTTTGCCTTTGTTTATGATCCAGGTGCTATGCTTACATTTGAAAAGATTTCATTGGACAGCATATTTAAGAAACAAGGTTGACACATATGTAGAGTTTCCACTGAGAGGACTAGACATGAAATGCTACTTACTAGAGGTAAGATAATATCATTGTTAGCTGGTGAGAAGACGGCTCTTCAGTAAAATTAAGTCTTCACTGACAGGCTGGAGGTCATTGAGGTGGGAGATATGGATGCCCTTGACCACTGCCCCTAACTCAGTCCTGGCTGCCCTCTCCCTTGTCCGCAGCCTGAGAACAGTGGCCCTGAGAGCTGCCTGTACGACCTCGCCGCGGTGGTGGTGCACCATGGGTCCGGGTGAGTATGCCAGCGGCTGGCCCCGGTTAGGAATAGCACCACTCTGATAATCTCCCCAAACTCCCTTTAAAAATGTGGATTCAGGTACATTAAAGTGGGTGAAATAGAATTTTCCTTCAGGTTTGGTGTGAAAGAATATTCCTGTGAGAATGCTGTGAAGTGAGGGCACATAAAAGCTAGATGGAAGGTGGTTTATTTGAGCCTAGCATCCAGAACCCAGTCAGTTCACAAATCCGGAGCATTCTTTACTCAACTAATTCTCTTTGCCAATTGATGTTTAAATAGGGAAAATGGAAAATTATTTATAACTTCATGTCCTATACTTCATTTTTTATTTTGTTGAATAATTCTTGATTATTTTTTCTTCTGAAAGTTTGGTCTGTTTGAGAATGACTGTTTTACCTTCAGAAAACCACTCTCCATACTGAATACCCTTTTCCTCAGAACTTTATAGACTTTGTTCCATTGACTTCACCACTACAATTCTGACTCTAAACTCCTTTTTATAAAAAATATTTTTTTATTGATTTCAGAGAGGAAGGGAGAGAGAGATCATCGATGGGCTGTTTCCTACAAGTCCTACACTGGAGGTCGAGCCAGCAATCCGGGCATGTGCCCTGACTAGGAATCAAACCATGACCGCTTGGTTCAAAGGTTGATACTCAACCACTGAACCACACTGGCTGGGTAACTCACTCTCTGTGTTTTCTCTCTTTAGAAGGTTGTAGGATCCTCTGTCTTTGGACTTAAGAAATAACATTGGATGATATATTCCTGCTTGATAGTTGATAAGGGATAGTCTTAATCTCGTGTCTTCCAATAATGGGAATTTGTTTTTCCCACCCCATACTCTCCTCTTGAATACCTCACTTTGTGAAATGTATAGTAACTTTCTTGGATCTTCACATATTTTAATTATTCTTTAATGTTTTCCATCTTTTTGGCCCATTTTGCCAAATCAGCAGTCTGCGTTACATCTCTTTCCAAATTGAAGCCTTGCTCCTCCATGGATTTTTATGGTGGAGATCACATCTTTCTCAGAGCTGTTTCATAACAGCCTGTTCCTGTTTCATGGTTGCAGTGTCTTCTTGAAAACATTGGTACTAATTAGAATTTTTAAAGTTCTCTGTTTTTTTGCCTTCATTTCCTCAGTGGTTAATTACTGTGGTTTTTTTTTTCCTGATACTTCTCTTTCATGCTATTTTTCCCCCTCATGACTGATGATTTTGGGATGTTTATTCAAAATCATAAATGATGAGATTGGTCATTATTGGTAAACTGAAGGCCCGGTGCATCAGTTCATGCATGGGTAGGGCCCCTCTGGGTGGCCTGTGGGGATCGGGCCAGAACTCACAAGCCAATGCCACCTGCAGCTCTTATTTGCTGCTCCCACTCATGCTGGCCCCACTGTGCCTGCCATAGGCTCGCGCCCAATCAGTCCCAATTGGGAGAGGCTCCTGCTGCTGCAGTGGTGCTTGCAACCGTGAGCGCTGCATCTGGCGCTTTCCCAAGGGGAGTAGCCTGTGGGATCAGGCTGAAACTAGTTCTCCGAAATCCCCCCAGGGGTCATGGATTTCAAGAGGGCATAGGCCAGGCCAAGGGACCCCATCAATGCATGATGGGGCCGGAGAGGAACTGTGCGAGGGCTCTGTGTCCAGTCCTGTCTCACCCAGTCCTGATTACACAGGAAGTTGGCCAACCCAGGAGGAACCATGAGAGGGCTCCAGGGTGTGTCCAGTCCATCTCACTCAGTACCAATCGGCCAGACCCCAGCAGCAAGCTAACCTACCGGTTGGAGCATCTGCCCTGTTAGTCAGTGCATATCATAGCTCCTGGTTGACTAGTTGACTGCCTCCTGTGGTCATTGCACATTATAGCAGGTGGTTGAGTGGCCTTAGCATATCATTAGCATATTATGCTTTGGTTGGTTGACAGTCAACCTGTCACCAGACGACCAGACACCTAGCATATTAGGCTTTTAATACCTAGGATTATACATAGGATGGTAAGGGTTTTTCTAACAGTTGTGAAGTTCTCTGTTTTTTTGCCTTCATTTCCTCATGGTTAATTACTGTGCCGGTCTCTGTTATACCTGCAGGCTATTCTGCCTGGGAGAGTGGGTGGGTCGGCTGACAGAAAAAAGCCCTTGATGGCCAATATAGGGAAAAGGCACTTCCCTTCAGCTAGGTACTTTATTAAGCTCAGTTACCCCTCCCCAAAACTCTGACGGGAAGCCTGGTTCTGTGTTCTGTTTCCTATAGCCTTAGCCTGTGCTTGTTAGGTTGAGCGTTACTCAGCTAGTTTCTCCATTAATCCAGTGCCGTGAATACACCTTTGTGTTGGAGAAAATCTTCCACTCTGGTTCTAGTGTCAGTCTCTGCCTTGTCATCTCGGTAGGTTTTGAGGAAGATAAACGTGAGCTCCGTAAACTATCTTAAACCACAGTTCTCTGGAGCTTATTCCATTGCAGCACTCACTGCAGCTTTCTCTTCCGACCCCCACAGGGTGGGCTCCGGACATTACACGGCGTATGCGGCTCACGGAGGCCGCTGGTTCCACTTCAACGACAGCACGGTGACGCTGGCGGAGGAAGACGCCGTGGCGAAGGCCAAGGCCTACATCCTCTTCTACGTGGAGCGCCGGGCCAGAGCCGCCGCGGATAAGCTTTAACTCCGCCTGAGTCGTTACTCGTCAACTATGCCGGACAAACATTTCCAATTTTCCATAAATACTTGATCCAAGATTTAATTTCATTATGCACTTTTCAGTTTCCTATTTGGGGTTTAGTTTTATTTTGTCAATGGTAGTGAACCTGGGCACCAACTAATTTTTTTTTTAGTTCTACCAGAAAACCTCAGCAGATATTTTGATTTGCTGCTTTAGTGGTAATAATTCAGTTTTTATATGTAGTTCCAAGAACTTCGTTCTATTGGACGTTTTTATATTCATGTTTCAGTTCTCGCTTTGAGGCACATTTACATCAATGCTTTGTTGCTCTCACATGCTGACAGTAAGGCATGTTCCTGACTGGAGAGCAATGCAGCTGCCTGCACAGCTGTGCTGGAGACCAGGCTGACTCTGAACCAAGAATCACGTGTGTGTGGAATCTGTGGCCCATGGGATTTCAGTGACTGCTCAGGAATCATTCATTCTGCCTGTAAAGGTAGCAGGGCATCAATAAGCAGATCAGGTAACCGATGCTCTTGTATTTCTCAAAGCTGCTGTTTATTAGCATGAACGAAATAACATATCTGTACTGCAAATTCAAGAATTACTCTGTTGGTTTTGAGGTGTATTTTTAATGTGTGTTTTCAGGAGAAGATAGGAGTACAGAAAAGACCAAATACATTTAGTGTTTAAAAAATCCTGACTCAGCTACATGGTTTTGGTGCTCCCAGTGAGATGGGAACATGGCTTTGTTGGCATCAGCATCTGTTCCATTGACTGAGCACTGGGGATAACTGCATGTCCTCTTTGGTCCTACTTTGCCCAACTCCAGAGCTTATTTTGAGCACCTGCTTCTCAGGTAACACTGTGGGCCCTGCTTCTACAGAAGGAAATGAGTCTTTATGGCCCTATTCTATTACCCTGTCCAACTTAGCAGAGCAGGTTGGAAGTATTCAATAAGTAGTTTCTCTTAATAGTTTTTTTTAAATTTTCAGAATTTAACTATTCAAATTGAACTCAAATTAAAATTTGGAACTAGAATCCCATGTTAAATCCCACATTCCCTCAGAGTAAGCCATATCCACTAAACACTTAAAAAAAAAATCTAATTGGCTTTATTCAACAATTTATGAATCAGGTAGCATCCCACCCAGTAAATAAAAAGGTGCTCCCGTCCGCTAACACTGTTTAGCATGACCAGGAGCGAACTGAGATCATGTCTCACCCTGACCTATCTGGACAGTGGTCACAGCTGCACGTTTAACTCCAGTTAAAGAACTCGGTTCTCAGTCAGTCTGGCTCATGGCATGGGACTGTGCAGACCCAAGACATTTCCATCACTCTGTCGTTTTCGCGGACGGTGGGGTCTAAGTTTTTACTCCAGAGAAAAAAAAGCTTTGCCGTCATGTTTAGGTCTTACAACTTAGTCTAGAAGAGGAACCTATTTAAAGCAGTTCACAATGCTAAATTACATTATGTGAACCAACTGAAATTGTTATTTTTGATCTATAGAAATTAGTTTCACTTAATTTGATCTAACATATCACTACCTTAATTTAACTCCACTCTGATCTTGGTGAGCATCTGCTATGAACCCAATCCCTTCTACTGTAGAAGGTGCACAGCTGTCACTCCCAGCACCTGCACGCAGGTCCAGTCTCAAGCGGGCAGCTGCCGTTGCTTCAGCAGTAAAGCTCGGCCAGTGTTGACGGTGGTGGTGATGAGCTGTTTTCATACCAGACGGAATTCAGCAGCAGGCTGGACCACAGCGGACCACTTGTTGGGGGAAGTGGCCCTCAGACAGGCTGGCACTCTTGGCTTAAAAGATGCACACCTCTCTCTTGAATTGCTGTCGTGTTTTTATTGCTTGATTTTACTTGAGAAGAACTGTTTGAATATCATGAAGGCTCTCTGGGAAAGTGATTGGACCCATTTGAATTGTGCGCTTAGCACCAGTGATGTAAATGTGCCTGTTTGTATTTTGAAATTTAACTGTGTAGCCTTACCACACCTCTCCTACAAGCTGACTTTTGTGCTCTTCAGGGCTTTCCCTGGGCCACGCTCTCGGGCTCGCGTGGCTCCTCGCGCAGAGCTTGTGCGGAGGCAGGGCCTCACGCCGTCGCGTGCTCCTTGGACGAGAAGCCTTTCTCAGAAGTCCTCCCACCTAGGTGGGTGATAGAACAGTTTGTGGCAACACAAATCTCTCTCCATGGTGGAGAAACCTTTGCTAATCCACTGTATTCTACTCAGTGTATAGTGATGACAAGTGTAACAGAATTAAGCCAGTCAGGTGTACTGGCCCTGGTTGAGTGTTAAATGTGTATCTCACCTGTGGAACCCACTCGGCAGTGTGGCTTCTGGGGTTGGGGACATATTTATTTCTTAAAGCCAAACCTCTCCTTCATCGGTTAGTGTACATACGTCTATTTAGATATACTTATCCCACTTCAGCCTCCCCCTTCCCCTAAGCTCTCACGGCCCCTCTGTGGCTGGAGCGGCCTCTTCCCGCGGCCCCGGAAAAGTGCGGAAAAGTGCGGGAAGACCATTTCCTGCCGCCAGGGGGGGGGTCGCTGGCCTGAAGGCAGCCATGGAGCGCCCTCAGCGCGGGGAGAGGTGAGCGGGCGGCGTCAGCTGTAGCCCAGGCCTCTGCCCGGACGCAGCACCTGCCCCTCAGGTCAGAGAGCCCGGCTCCAGCCCGCCCTCCGCACGTGTTGGCTGTGCTATGATCATTTGCCATTGAAACCTAGTTTGTATGATGCCGAGAGGATTAAGTGTGCAAGTGACTGATTTCATTTAAGTTGTAATCACATCCCTTTTCTGCTTCACCAACCTGAACTGTTTTATGGAAAGTATCATTAAAAGTCTGGTCTCTTTCCTTTTGACTGTTATTTCTGAACACCTTTCAGTGGAGCCAAGTAAATAATATCCTCCCTCAGGCTCTGGGCCTTGTGACTCAGCCAGCAGGAGGCAAATCCTTACAGGACCCTCACCATCTGCAGCTGCTGGCGACCGGGGTCCGGAGGCGGCGGCCTGCGGGGAGGGTGGTGGTGGGGCGAGACCCTCCAGGGCTGCTGCCAGGAGCCTGTGGGAGCTCCCTGTGCGGAAGGAAGTCGCCCTGTCTCCCTGGGCAGTCGATCTTAGAGTGAGGTTGCTCACCTTCACAGCTAGGAACCAGACTTTGGATTCTGAGCAAAGGATACTGATGATCTGAAGTGAAAGACAAGAGCTGTTAAACATTTTGCTTTAGAGAAAGCTTCTGAATACTACCTTCTCTGCCCACATGTCTCCTGTAAACAAAAAAAACAACCAAGAACTGCCCCGAGTCCATACCATGGTTTTCCTGTAAGTCTTTTAAAACAAGACACGGGGTGGTGAACACACAGTACGATATACAGATGATGTGTTATAGAACTGTATACCTGAGACCCATATCATTTATTAACCAATGTCACCCTAATAAAGTTCAATGAAAAGGGGAAAAATAAGACGGGTGCCTGCAGCCCAAAAGCTTTTGCTTCCAGGTCCCGTATCACCAGTTGGCAGCTGTACTGTCAGAGGTGGTACAGCTGCTGCCGTTGCAGCCAAGGAGCCAAGCTCCACACAAAAAAGAATGGCGCTGTTGCCATTGACAACCCAGGCCTGGGCAGACCCCTCCCTGCCAAAATGCATGCCATGTGGGCCCACTGCATTCTGAGGCCTGTGGTACAGCCCCCTCCCCCTAGAGGGGCAGGCTCTACACAGTCCCTGCTGGGCTCCTGCCGCTCCAGCAGGGCGGGGATGCAGGCTGGCAGCCACACAAACCAGAATGACCCTTCCCAGGGGCCACACAGCCCTGCCTTTTAAGAAAGTGAATGAACTGCCTCTTTCCCGGGTCCGCCTGTGAGAAGCACTGGTTTGGAAGGGACTCGGAGGGGAAGTGAAGGTCACACGCTTTCTGTTAAGCCCATCTGTGCTGTGCAGCGAGCCTTTTGAGTGGGGAAGGACAGCGAGAGCCCAAAGAGGGGCTGCGGCTGTCATTTTTAAGTTAAATGATTAGCCCGAAGTACTAGCTAGTTCCCCTCTCCTTGATAAAGCTTCCTTTTAGCTGTTTGGCCGATTAGTCCTCAACAGAGGACAGTTGAGACTGGCCTCTAGGAGCAGGAGAGCTGGCCAGAGTCGTCCTCCCTCGGGTGCATCCGCTCTTAAAGGCAGGCAAAGCGGCACTGGGCCTGACCAAGCCTGAGCTCCTCTCTCACTCTACAAACCGCAAACAAAGGATTCCTGTCCTCCCAACGCCAGTTCCATGGGAGAAGGAAGAAAGGTAGCCCGTTGGGTGGAGTGCCTGGCCCAGCAGAGGAGAAAAGGCTGCTCACCTCACTCCTGTGGCCCAGCAGCTTTCTCCTAGTGGCACTGCACCACCCACCCACCCTGTACCAAAGCCAGGCCCTCCTGGCAGGGAATTGCAGGAGAGTCCAGGGGCGAACTGGGACTCGAGCAAGCACTGTTAGGAAATGGATCATGTGTTGAGAGATGTTGGTTACTTTAGGAGAAGAACTGAAAGGAAAAGACTCGTGCAATCTGCCAAGCGGAACTAAAGCATTCACAAGGATGGTGTGTGGTTCGCTTAAAGGGCAAACTCAGGCTAAAATACTTGCACCTAAAGTTGTTTCACGAAGTTTTGTATGAAGAGCTACTTTATCCATCCTGAAATAGAGGCTAGATACAACTGGACACATTAGAAAAAGGTAAAGCAAGTAATTTAAAACATGACACGTTCACAGAAGAAACCAGAAAGGGAAGCGACTGAAGGTACGTGTTTTGGGAACAACGGGATAAGAGCAGAGCCTGCTGGGAGGCCAGGGCCCCCTGCCTGGTGGAGGGCAGCAGGGTCTGCAGGCCGATCAGCCCAGCCTGGAGAAGCCGTCAGCACTGAGTGAAAGCAGGAGGCACTACCCGTGTCTGCTCACCCTGAGCTCTTTCCAGACAGCAGGCTGCTTCCCTACGAGCGGGGTGGCACTCCGATGTTCGGGAGGAGGAGAGAAGAGCAGAACTATTTACAGTTAGGGTCCCTCCGCGCGCAGAGCCTGCAAGCCTGGACAGAGGTGGGCTGGCTAGCCACCTAGAATGAAAATGCCTCAGGAAAAGCCAAAGAGCTCATTGCTGAACACCATTGTCAGCTAAAAGGAAAAGAAATCCCTTTTAAGGAAACTATTTAACTTCAATAGACTGCTTTTCTGCCAGGATTTTCAATTCCTCTGAACATAAGCCGAGACACAGACTGCTGCACGTATGTCTGATGCTGCCCCCCCGCCCCAGCGCCAGCACCAGTTGTTATCCCAAAATAAACCCCATTCCACAACCATATATGTCCACGGGCCCGGAGCTGGGGAGGAGCAGCCGGAGGTAGGTCAGGTCCCTGGGCCCCAGCCACACTCCGTGGCTGCTGCACACCATGCACATCACCCAGCTCAATCGCGAGTGCCTGCTGCACCTCTTCTCCTTCCTGGACAAGGACAGCAGGAAGAACCTCGCCAGGACCTGCCCGCAGCTCCAGGACGTGTTCGAGGACCCCGCACTCTGGCCCCTGTTGCACTTTCGCTCCCTCACAGAACTCAAGAAGGACAACTTCCTCCTGAGCCCCACGCTCAGGAGCCTCTCCATCTGCTGGCACTCCAGCCGCGTGCAGGTGTGCAGCATCGAGGACTGGCTCAAGAGCGCCTTCCAGAGGAGCATCTGCAGCCGGCACGAGAGCCTGGTCAATGACTTCCTCCTCCAGGTGTGCGACAGGTAGGTCGCCTCCGGAGCAGCGCTGGCACTGGCATCCAGAGCTCCAGGAGGCTCCTGGGGGGCAGGGAAATGCAGCTTCCAAGACCAAGATGGCTCTGCCTCCGGGTCCTCAGAATAGGCCAAAGGCAGACCCCCTAGGCCTCCCACAGCACAGCCCCCGGAATATGGATAAAATCATGGGGGGAGCAAGCTCCTCTTAGCCTCACAGGCCTTGGAGCAGAGGAGGAGCTGGGCATCAGCTGCGCTGTCCTGCTGTCCTTCAGGCAGCTGTCCTCCCTGGCAGCCATCAAGTGCTAGGTGGGTCCACTGAGCCAGGATTTTCAAGGTCAGACCTCATAAAAAGATTCCTAGATTTAGCAATCAACCCTCCCACCCCCCCACCCCCCCACTCCACACACACTCCAGCAAGCAAACCCCAGGGCTCAGGAACTGCAGCTGAGCAAGGAGCGGGATGCCCTGGATTAGCTGAGCCCAGCCAGGCTCAGGGCAGGGGTGGTGAGATACAGTCATGGTCTCCCCAATAGGAACTTACTGATCTTCACAGTTCTCCCAGGGAAAGGTGTGTTTGCCTAATTTTTCAAATGAGCAAACCAAAGCTCTAAGTCGAAGAGGTCATTTGATTTGCCCACAATCTAGGATTGCCATATTTTAGTAAAAACTCAAGATACCCAGTTTAAATTTCAGATAGAATATCTTCTTGTTAAAAGTATGTCCGAATACACCCTGTATTTGATACGTCAACCCTACAGCAAACAGAGGCTGAGCCACCGCCTCCTGCCCAGAGCAAGGCCACAGACTTCCCCCCAGGCTCCGCCCTTGGCTCCGACACTGGCTGGGCCAGCTTGTTGCCACTGAGGCAGCATGACAGGAAACAGAAGAAAACGGTGCAGTAGCCCACCTGTGCAGTAGGAAGGAAACAAGATCGGCTGGGACTAGGCCCTCACAGGACCAGGCCTTCCTGATGGGTTTAACAGTCGGTGGCCGGGGGAATGTGGCCATGCCAGCCTTTTATTTTTTAGTTCTGTACCCTCTGCCCCAGGCACCAGGGAGCTGAGCTGGCCTAGGCAGATGCAGTCAAGTGGCTGGGGAAGCTGAGTGATACAAATGGGGCAGAAAGCTTGCCCTGAAGTTGCTCTAATCCCCCAAACCAGCAAGGTGTGTGTGGAATGGGCCTCCCAGGCTACTGTCCTGGTGCAGCAAGGGCTTGGAGATTGGGGTTCTGTGCCGAGTCCCCCAGTTCTATTGTCCGATTATGTGACCCCAACCCAAGTGTTTAAACTGTCACCCTCATTTCTTCATCTGTAAGAGGACAAATCGCCCATCTCAGGTTAAGTGACACAGTAGCACATATAAAGATCATCAAAGCTGGTTCTTTTGGCCTCAGCGGGGCTGGTGGTAGGGAACAGCAGC